ATTGGCTATTAAAAGGATTAGCAATTGGTGCAGGAGTCGGAACATTCTTGTATTTGTTATACTCATGTATTAAATTTTGGAGAAAGGAGTATAACACAGAATTTATGGCAAAAGAAGCTTACAAAGCAGAGAAATTTCGGCAAAGATATGAAAAGGAATTAATTCGTGCGGTTTATGATCATGAAGTTGATGTTCAAGATAAACTATATTTCACGAATGCTCCTAAACAAACAAGTGAGAAGGGAGTAGCACAATCGATGAAAAAGCAAGAAATTGCAAAAATACCGAAAAAAGATTTGAAAAAAATCAAAAAGAAAATCAATTCACAAATCGAGGCAAAGTCGAAAAATGATCCGAGTTTCTGGGATGATTACAATAAAGATCCAGAACAATATAAACAACCAACCGGTTTTAAGACGAAAGCTAAAAAATATTTCAAAAGTTTATGGCCTTTTTCGAAAGGGAATAGTGAAGAACAACTGAAAAGCGAAGAACTGGTCCGATTTGAAGCTCGCCGACAGTATGAAAATATCAGAAAAAATCGATTAGAATTGGACAAAATATCAACAGGGTATGAGAGTACGATTGAAGAAATAAAGGACGATCCACTGTTGGCAAAAATGATCCCGATTTTGAATCAAGAACATGCTGATATTTATCGTGAAACCATAAAAACTACAAACATTCCTGAATCCGGAAAGAAGGATCAGCTTAAAGAATGGACGAAAAACTTCAAAGACAACAGGAATAAGTTTCGAAATGAATTTGACAAAAAGTTCGAAATGACATTTGGTGAAGAATCTGATAACAAATTAATAAAAAAAGGGAATTTGTTGAAAAGTTCAACTCATGGATCGAAAACGACAGAAGATGAATCAACGAAAATCCTAAGAAGTGATTCAGACAAAGATAAAAAGACACAAACACCGGTCAGTATGATAAGAAGGACCGAATCAACATCTAAACCAAAAGGAAGTCAAACGACCGAAATTCTATCAAGTGATTCGTCCCAAGATGAAAAGCCATCAAATCTCGGTTTAATAGACGAGCAACAATCAACAGACAACGTCAAAGTTTACCAAAACAAAGATTCCGAAAATCAATTAAGTGAGATTGAAAGAAAAAAAGCAGAATTAAGAAAAATACACGCAATAGAACTTGAAGAGTGGGCAAAAAAATACAAAATTCGAGAAAATCGTTATAATGAAACTGGTTCTGAAGCAGATTTAATTATTTTAAACCGAATGCTAAAAAATAAACCAAAGCTTCCTTTCGATGATGATGATGAGATAGTTGGTATGACTAAACCTCAACGTCCAGATAGTCAAACGTCCGAACAATATGAGAAAAAAGTCAAAAAACCACAAACAGACAACAACGTTGGAGCTTACGCAAAAAAAGATTCCGAAAATCAATTAAGTGAGATTGATAGAAAAAAAGCAGAATTGAGAAAAATACACGAAATAGAACTTGAAGAGTGGGCAAAAAAATGCAAAATTCAAGAAAATCGTTATAATGAGACTGGTTCTGAAGCAGATTTAAATACTCTACAACGATTGCAAAAAAATAAACCAAAGTTTCTTTTTGATGATGATGATGA